CAGAATTTCTGAAATTCAGCAATGTACAAAGAGTTCTTCATTAAAAGTAATTTGTTATACTTTTGGAGATGGGGTACACTACCATAAGAAAATGTAACTGCTTTAATTAATACTGACATAGTGAGGACTCCACTGGCATTAAGAACATTTAATATTAAAGTAAAATGTTACTGCTTGTCACTTCCTTTTCTCTTTAGATCATTAGCATAGGATTAAAATTTTTAGATGGGATTTCACACCCCTAGCAAGCAGCTGTGTCTTCTTTACAAAAGACAATGCACTCATACATATGTATTATGCACTTAATTAAAACTGTTGGATTTTCATTTTTAAAAGTTCTAATGATGTTTTGCATTTTTATAATAATTTGGATCTCTGGACGGCCACCAGTTTGCATATTTAAAATGAAAGAGGAAGGCTTGGTGGGATAAACATCTCAAAGTGTATGTAACTGGAGGAGCACAGCCTGAAATGAGCTGTACCACTGGCCTAATATTCCATTATTTTTCATTCCTTTTACTTAACAAAGAGATATTTTCCCTCTGAATATTTTTATTATAAAAGTAATATGTATTTACAGAGATTTTTTTTAATTTTTTTTTTTTTTTATTCTCACCTGAGGACATTTTTCCATTTTTTTTATTCAGCTAGAGCGGGAGGGAGAGAGAAGGAGAGAGAGAGAGAGAGAGAGAGAGAGAGAGAGAGACATCAAGGTGAAAGGGACACATCAAGTGGTTGCCAACAGCAAATCCAACCAGGGGTGGGGACAAACTACAACCGAGGTACATGCCCTTAGCGGGAACTGAACCTGGGTCTCTGTGGACCACAGGCCGAAGCTCTAACTGCTGAGCCAAACCGGCCAGGGCTATAGAGATTTTTAAAAATAGAAAGAAAATAAAAATTATTTATAATCCTGTTCTCCTGAGATAAACATTATTAACTTTATTTCATTTTATAATTTTATTATATAAAATTTATATATTTAAAAAATTTGAATCATACCATATTAAGAAATATGTATGTTTAGTTTTCACTTAATTTTAAGTGGTAATTTTTACCTATGTTATTAACTCGTCTTCAAAACATGATTTTTCACGACTGCATCATCATCATCATCATCGCTGTGGAGTCTTTTGAGCTTTGCACTTTCATAATGTATATAATTTAAATTAGAGAGGAACTAGAGCTGTGATAGAACTATATTGGGAAGAGGAAGGAGAGTGGTAAGAAGTAGTATAAGATACATTCTTAGAGATTAAAGCATAAAATTGATAATGTGTAGAAATAATTGAAAATTTTAAATTAAAAAAAATTACAGTATAAGCAGCCCAAAGCCAGAAAAATGTAAAAGTCAGCTTCTAAAATGAGAAACGGTTTTTCTTTTTTAGAAAAGAGGCATTCAAATAGCAGATTGATGATTTTCATCATAAGTTCTTCTAAATTGCTTGATTTTTTTTAACCATCTGCATACATGTTTTGTTTTTTTTTGTTTTTTTTTTTAAAAAAAGGTCTAAATTAACTCTGTCAAAGAGTTAGACATTAAGATTACCCTCAGACTCTCCTGGAAGTGCGTGGGTGCGCGCGGGTGTGTGTGAGTGCGGGTGTGAGTGTGCAGTGGCGGGAGAGGCAGTGGTGTCAGGGGTGTGGTGCCCTCTGAGAGAGCATAGGGAGGGGCAGCGGGACTGCACTGATCAAGGAGGAGAAGTTGGAGCAGAGAAGCCCTTTATCTCTAGGGCAGTTTTACTTTAGGCTAGTATTGCTGAGACTACTTTATCCAGTGGGATGTAGGATCCTGACAGCTAAGAGCATTACATACTGAAAAAGGACAGTTCTTGCAAATATTATCGTTATGAAGAAACAGAAGGGACCAGTGTTCTGAGCAACATGTCTATTTGCCATTGAAATGGAAAATTGCCTCATTATAAACTTTATAGGGTGCCCAAGCCATTTTGCTGTAGCATGCTTTTGTTAGAATAGATAGCTAAAAATTCCTTTTCCAAGTTGAAACATTTGGAAAGGAAAAAAGAAAACTTCTACTTTTCCTGTAGCAAATTATGAGTTAAAATAAAGCATCTTGCCCTGGCCGGTTTGCTCAGCGGTTAGAGCATTGGCTCGCAGACCAGAGAAACCTGGGTTTGGTTCCCTCTAAGGGCAAGTACCTCTGTTTCAGTTTGTCCCCAGCCTTGGTTGGGGTCGTGTGGGTGGCAACCAATCGGCGTGTCTCTCTCACATCAACATTTCTCTCTCTCTCTTTTTCTCCCTCTCTCCCTCCTTGGGTGAGAATAAAAAAAAAAAAAAGAGAGAAAGTATCTTAAATTCAGTGGAAAATAGAAGGTGTCATGCTTTATATTATCTTCATTCCACTCCCCAGCACACTTCTGAATAGAGTTGTGCTGTTTTTCAGTTTGACTGATATGTTTGAAATTTAAATAAAAAGCTAGAAATTATGAGGAAGGCAGCTGATTATTTATTGATCTTATTTATTAGTATTTTATTAGTCAGATGCTGATTTATAGTGGTTGATAAAACACAGTCCCTGTCCTCAGAAACCAGTCTTTGGTGGCGGGGTGGGGTAGGGAGACATAGTAAGCAATCTAGTCATGACAGTAGAAGAGCTCTTGTGAACAGTTTAGCTCAGCTGAAGTTTCTCTGCCTACATACATATGGTAAAATGTTAAAATACAACTAGTACTTATGGAAGGAGCAAAAGAAAAAGAGAAAAAATTGTGAATTTATTTTTCATTAAGAATTTATTAGAACCCAATACATCAGTCCTGTATCACTACTTGAATATTTCTCTCGTATCTATCTTTGCTTTTTTCTGCTTTTATCACTTATTCTCCTAGTAGTTTCTCTACTGTTTTTTCTTTTTTCCCTTTGTCTTTGGATACCTTATCTACTCTAACATTCCCTGGGCTCCACCCTACCTCACTCTGCCTTCTCATAACTACCAGCTTTACTCTTAAAATTACAAGCAGTCAAATCCAACTTCAGAAGATACACACATTGGAAACAAAACTGGACATTGCATTCCTGTTAGGACTCTAAATGAGTTTTCCCTTCCCTGTTGTAGGCAAAATAATGGTCCCCAAAGATGTCCATGTTGTATGTCCAGAACCTGTGAGTGTGGTAGACTACATGGCAAAGAAGAATTAAAGTTACAATTGGAATTCAGGTTGCTCATCAGCTGAGTTTGAAATGAGGCTAGCTAGCCTGGATTATCCAGGTGGGCCCAATCTAATCACAGAGCCTTTCAAAGTGTGGGGTGGGGGGCAGAGCAGAGAGATGAGGATTCTGCTCAACCTTGCTGGCTTTGAAGACAAAGGGTTGTGAGCCAAGACGTGTGGCCCTCTGGAAGCTGCAACAGGTAAGAAAACTGATTCTCCCCTAGCGCCTCCAGAAAGGAACCTAGCCCCTTGGACACCATGGTTCTAGTCCAGTAAGACTTAGGTTGGACTTCTGGTCTCCAGAACTAAAAATAAATGTGGTTATTTTTATTATTGTGGCTAAGCCACTACATTTGTGGTAATTTGATAAACAGCAGAAATAGATATTAATACAAGCCCCCTCACTTTGCAGAGTCTGGAGAAAGAATGCAGCTAGAGTCTGTTCCTGGTCAGTGACTCAGACCCAGGGGATCAGAAGAAATTTTAAGGGTTTTCTGAGCACAGTTGTTTCTAATTTAGAGCCACAGCATCATCTAAGAGGGAACAAATAGTGAAAAGGGGCCCAAAGGGTGAACCTAGAGATGTAGGTACTAAAGAGTAGCTTGAAGAAAAAGCCATATGCTTCGTGTGTGTGTGTGTGTGTGTTTATTGTAAAGGAGAAAAATAATTTATCTCTACCTTTCTGAGTTCTCCATTGAGACCTCTTTAATAAAAGACAAGTTAGCTAAACAAAAACAATAAAAACAAACAAACAAGGTTATTAACATGTATACCTCATATATGCATGGGTGATGCCTATTTTTATGTTTTTAGGTCTATGACTGGAAGGTTGTAAATGCTTGTCGACGATATTAGGGTTAGGGTTAGGGAAAAATGACTAACTCCCTGAGGTGGCTTAGAATTCAGGATTAAATACCATTTTAATAGGAAAAGTAGAGGAGAGTATAGGCCTCTTGGGGAGAGTAAATGACTTTTAGGAAAGATGAATGGATCCTCAGAAGAATAAGGGGAGGTATAGTAAGTAGATTGTGACAAAGTTTGTCTGGGTGTGGTGTCCACCTGTAGTCTCCTCTCCTGTGATGAGTCAATCTACCTTGTGGATGAGACCCCTGGGAAAGGACTTGTGACAACTGAATTCATTTTGGAGGCTCTGTCTTTAGGCAGATGAGAGGAGTTCAGTGAGAGTCTCTCCAGCATTTGCTCAAAATAATCAATATGCCAAAGTGGCATGTTTTGGAGTAGCATATCTTAAGTACACACCTACAAGTGTAATTCAAATGTATGTTGTTGATGTTATGATAAATAAAATAAAAATACTATTACAACATTACTGGTTCCTTTTTCTCTTCATGTATTTTATTAATCGGCAAATTTTAATAGTTCGATGAGTATCCGGTTGGGATATTTGAGTTTTTTAAATATTATGTAACTGCATTCATTATATCAAAAGTTTAGAAATTCTGTATCCCTTTATTTTCAAGAGTGTAAAATTGGGAACTAGAAATGTAAACAAACTACCTAAATTGGAGCAGTTCATAGTGACGAAGGTAGAGCAGGAACTCCTGTCCTGCTGCCTGAGATCCACTTTCCATAATGCTGCACTGCGTGCAGAAGGCGAAGGTCCCAGATGGGTTCTGACCACTCCGCTCTCTGATAGCTATGCCCCTGCATCCCTGATAATAATAATGTGATGATCTCAAGATGGGGAAGCCACTTTGTGACTCTTCTGTATTAAGTAGGTGTGCCCTTGCGATTTAGGTCCTTCTCAACTTTTTCATAGCTCCATTTTGGAACTGGGAAGAATAATTTGCAAAATATATTTTTAAATCATTGTAATGGATAGGTTACCCAACCATTCTCAGATCTCTTTTCATATTTATGTCCTATACTTACTGTGGTTGAGTATCTGTAAGATTTTGATAATGTTCTAGATGCTTGATGGTGATTTCTTCTTCCATGAATACACTTCAAGGAGCCCACATATTCTCTAACTCAGGTTTTTGTTTTAATGAGCCAGGATGGATGTTAGTGGTCCAGGATGATAGCAGAAGTCATGCTTGGAGATGCCTGAATCAGCAAGAACTGTGAATAACGCAGCTTCTGAACCAGCTGGGTATTTTAGCTTTTCCTAAACATTTGGATAAGAATAGAGGGGGAGTGGATGTGTTTTACTGTTTTTAATGTCTTTTGCATGCTTGATGAGTCTGAATTTGGAGTAAGTCTCAGGAGGAAGGGTGGAGAAGAGATGAGACAAAATGAGAAGCACTATCTCAGCTGGAGAAAAAAACTTTATACCATGGAAACAGAATGCAATATGCTAGGGAATTCAGAATGTATCCACAGTAATACAGCCATACCATGCGTAGAGGCATGCAGGCAGTAACTCCAAACTTCAAGGGAACAGAGCCCCTAATTGTTGTTCACTTATGAAAAAACTAGTGGCAACATCAAATTCATTTAAATTCCTCTTCTATTTTCCAGAAAGCTGTTGAAAAATGTTTGTAGATGCGAAGTCTTTAAATGTAATTGGTTAGGGAGATATAATCTAACCTCGCTGTAGTTTCAATTTGTTCATGCCATTTGGTAGAATTTCTTGTTGTTTTACAACTCTGAAATTGATAAAAAGCTCAACTCGTGGAATTTAGACAGCAAACTTTGGGCAGACTAAAGGAGCAAGCAATGGTAAGGTGCAATTCTCTGTCTGATTTTTAAAATCCTTTATATCGTTTCAGTATACCTATTCAACAAATATTAGCTGAACACTCATCATGTAAAGCATTACCCTAGCAGCTGGGGATATAATAATGAGTAAAACAGAAAAACAATCCCTGATCTCCTGAGCATAGTTTTGTAGGTCATTATAGACAATAAACAAGGTAAGTAAATGGAGTATAGCAAACAGAGAGAAGTATTATAGAAAAAAAATAGGAACAAGGGATATTGTCTGGGGGAGAAGGTAGACATTTTTGATACGATGGCCACAAAAGGCTTTACTCAGAAGCTGTCACTTGAATAAAGAGTTGAAGGAATTGAGGGAGGGAGCCACAGACATAACAAGGAAGTCTTTTGGAGAAAGGGAACAGCCATCAGAATATCTGGTGTGAGAATGTACCTGCTAGGAGGCTGTATGGATGCCGTGGAAGAAGAGGGAGAGGAGGTCAGGGAGAAATTGTGCATGGTGGGGCCCTATTGTGTAGGTCCTCGTAGGTTATTGTGAGGACTTTGGCTTTTACTCTGAGTGAGATGAGAAGCTTGGAGAGTTTACTAACCTACACAATTGACAACGTAAAGGTTGGAGACCTGAACTAATACAGTAGCCTCTTGCCACATGTGGTGATTTAAATTGAAATTAAAAATACATAAAATAAAAATTTAGCTCTTCACTAACCCAATTTAAGTGATGAGCATTGTCTATTAAATATCGTATTGGACAGCACAGAGATAAAACACATCCATTATTGCAGAAAGTTTTTAGGTAATGCTATTCTACACCACTCATGTCTTCATTAATTATAAAAAAATGTATACCCCTAAATAATCAAACATATTTTGCCAGGCTTCAGAGATAAAAATATGTGTAAGAAAGAAATGGGATTTTCCTTCAGGTCATTGAGTCACATAAGGATAGCAAGACATATCATATAATCACAAAATTATTACTAAAGCATGTTTAGGGTAAAGGTTTCAAAGGAAAGAGTAGTCAGTTACCTTGGAGGGAAGAATTTCTCCTCAAAAGGAGTTTGGAAAATGAGTTTAAGTCACGCAAATAGATCAGGGTGTTTCAGGTGAATAGAATAGGTAAGTATAGATAGTGGTACTTAAGAACTACCATGATAAACCTTGTATCTATGATACTTCATTTAATATTTGCAATAATTTTGTGAAAGCAATATTGATAGCCCATTTTACAAATGAAACAGAAATTCAGAAGTTAAACAAGTTGCCAAGATTCCACAGCAACTTGATATATGAAAAATCAAGGTAGATTTACTGTAGGCAAAAAAGACAAGTTATTTTTATGATATATGCTATTTGAAAAGGTGGTTATGGACCCACAATTTGAACCCAGGGTGTTTGGCTATAAAGGTTGTGTTTTTATTTACTACACTTAATTTTTTTTTTTTTAAAGTGTTATACAGTATTAGAGAAAAAAAAAATGAACCAGGAAATATATAATCAATGTGAACATATATGCACTCAGCAAATTATATAAGACAATGGACAGAATTGTAAGAGACATGTCTACACCAATAACGAAGGTTGAAGATATCAACAAACACTTCTCAGAAAGTGATAGAAAAAAATGGACAAAAGTTTAACTTAAGATACTGGAAAGCTGTCCAACTAAAAGTTTGAATTAGTTATTAGAAAGTTATTTAATTTAACTTAGGTATTTATAATACCTAAGCCAGTACCTGTTAAAGCTGTGAGACAAAGCTAAAGTCACACTTAAAGGGAACCTTTTAGTTTTAAATATCTTTTGCAATAGACAAAAAAATCCCAAGCATTCCATGAACGAATAAACCAACAATTCATCATAAGAAGCTAAAAAAAATCAACAGTGCATAGAAATATGAAAGAAATAATATAAACAACAATAAATATAAACAACAATAATACAAATTATGAAATAAAAATAAGGAGATAAATAAAATACAGAGAAGCAACCAAAAATTCGAAGTAAACGAAAATTCCAAACTGATCTTTGAAAAGGTTTGTGTTCATAAAGGTGGGGGAAGCTAGGGAAGAGTAAAACTAGGCCCCTGTTTGCGCCAGAGGACGCGGGTTTCCTCACATCTCCCTTCTGCACCCCAGTCTAGGCTACGAGAAACTCCCAGTAATTTCACACTTCGGAAGAATGTTCAGAGAACAGAAAGATCGCACAGCCCATAGTGTGTATTTAGCCTGTAACATTTACATCTGCGTTGCTTCTCTAACTCCCTCCTTTGTTCCTTCCTTTTTTAAAAAGCTGCCTGTATCTGTGCTTTAATTTTCTGTTATTTATGGTGGGAAACTTTCTTGTTACCATGGGACACATATTTTTTATGTCCTTAGCTCTATAGGAATACCATACAGAGCAATGAATAAAATATAGTTTTTATGGTCAATATTTTAAACAGAGTCAGAGTTTAAATTATGATTTTGACAAGGTTGGAAAACAATGTTCAGCTTTACTGCCCTCATGAAAGGGCACGAACTTTAGTGAGTTGGGCTTGACTAGTTTTCTGACGCAGCTTGGAATCAGATATGATTTGCAAACAGATTTCGAATATTTATTTATTTATTTATTTATTTATTTATTTATTTATTTATTTATTTATTTATTTATTATTGTAAAGCTGGCTTTGCATGTGATAGTGTCTCCTAACTATGAATCATAGTCATGCAACTCACATTATTTCTTAAAGATAAAAATTATACCCTTATATCATAAGTAGCCATTCTCCTCTTTTGAGACTAGAAAAAGAAACCTCAAACTGGACCAGCTGGTGTGGCTCAGTGGTTGAGCATCGAGCCATGCACCAGGAGGTCACCGGTTCCATACCCGGTCAGGGCACATGCCCAGGTTGTGGGCCTGATCCCCAGTGGGGTGGCCAATCGATGTTTCTATCTCTCTCCCTCTCCTTCTCTCTCTAAAATTAATAAAGATAAAAAAGAAAAAGAAACCCCAAACTGAAAATAAATTTAAGCTGGAACATTAATTATGTGTATGTTTGGAGTAATAACAAAAATTGTAATTATTTCCTGTTAATGTGAATAAAGAGTATGCTTCTCTTCAACTGACTGGATCCACTCTGCAGCCCCAGTTCACTGTGTAGCACAGCCATTTCCACAACACAACAGTTTGTTCTTCCATGGATGTGTTCTTATTTTCCAGAAAAGAGGGGACCATTGGAAGGGCTTCTTTGTCATTAGTGAAGTTGTAACGACTGGTGAGTGGTAATGCTGGGAATATCAGCTGGAATCTGCTTCTTTTACAGCTATGAGGCTTCTCCTTGCTCATCTGCATCTGCCATCAGCATTTTCTCACAGCTGAATTTATTGATATTTCTCCATACCCCAACCCCAGATCACCCTGCTGGCCTGGAGGTCCAAGCTTGCCCCTCGTCTTTAGGAGCTATAACTAATAAAGGAAGTATGTTTATAGCTTCGGCTTCAACACCTGTCTAGGTATTGGAATGAAGTCATAATTCCATGGCTTACTGGCAACTTCTGGGCCCACTTTCGCTCTTGCCTCCTTCTAGTGCTCCGGTCAACACAGAAGTTGGTGGTGTCTGGCTACAGTCCTCTGGCTCTTCTTCCCTGAGTTGGATTAAATTCATGTATCTCTCATTTTCTCATTAATTTACTAATTCAACAAATATATATTAGGCACTTATTTTTCCATGGAATCTTTTTATGCCCCTGGGAAACAGAAATATTCAACAAATTTTCTGCTCATAAACATCTTAGTGTGGGGGGAAGGGGATAAACAGATATAACACAAGTGGAGATAAGTGTCATAAAGAAAAATCGGTTAAAGGTTTAGAGAATGTGGGAACAAGAGAGGATAGAAATTACTTTAAATGAGGTAGTCAGGGAAGGCAGCTTCTAAGAGATAAAGCCACATCTCCATCTAAAGAAACAGCTTTGGAGGCTGAGGAGCAGTAAGACCAAGGCTCTCAGAAGCATGTAAATGTTATAGAAAGAGAGAGGCCAGTGTGGCTGGAGGGGATCAGATGCGATGAGATGCAGAATGTTGGAGTAGGCAAGGGCCATATTACACAGGATCCTTACAGGGTAAGATGAACAGTTCAGATTTTATTATAATTGTGATAAGAAATCATTGAATGGTTTTGAGCCAGGATGTGACAGTCTTATCTATATTCGATCCTTGTGCTTTATGACAATAAACTGTAGAAGGACAAGACATCAGTTAGTTAAAATGCAATTCCTATGGCCAAGGAGATAAATATTGGTGTCTCATTTATTAGTGTTAAATGACCAAAATTGTGACAGTATCTTGGGAATCTTGATTCTGTTCCTTACTCACTAAATTTAACTCCATAGGGCTATTTATGAAGGTATTTGGACTTGAATTCTCTTGTTGCCCTTGCCAATGTGAAATTTTTAGCCCCTTTATTCTCTGCCTACAAATGACCCCCAATTTTTTCTACTGGCATGTGGTCTACATTTAGACTTTTACTTTTTTTATTGACCTCTTCTATATCACATTTACAGCTTTTTTGATTACAACCCAATATTTTTCACCTGGGAGGGAGTCTCCTCTTGGTCCCTATTCCCCTACGTTCCCACTCTGCCCTCAGTTGCAGAAGACTTACTGGCTTCCCAGTGAACCTATGAAAGTTGTGAAGTAAATTAGAGTAAAAACCAGACCCGTGTAAATGCTATAAAATAGTGACCAAATGTAATAGAATAAAATAAATATACTTATTTGATTTTATTTAAAAAGAATCAAATGGAAATTAAAGAACTAAAAATACAATGGCATGTATTTAAAAAAAAATCAGTGTGTGTTTAACAGCATATTTGACCCAAATGAAGAGAAAATAAATAAACTGGATTATGGCCAAAAGTAATAACCCTAAGCTTAAATGTTCTTGTAAGGAAACAGATTTTCTTTAATAATTTTTTATAACTAGAAAGCTCTTTAACTTTGGATCTTCATACAAACAAAATTAAGCAAGTTTTTCAAAATTTTCTTCTGAGAAATCAGTTTCCTAATTCTTTGGGAATTATTTGGGTGAAGTAAATAATCTTGTTTAATTTTCTTTCATACAGATAATTTTGTCCATAGGTACAAATATAATATTAGTTTTAAATTAATGATGTGAACCATTGTTTCACAAATGTCTGAATCCTTCTAGTTTTCTTCATTACCATTTTTTAGGTTCCATCATTTATCACATAAATCACTGCTATGAAATCCTCTTTTCATTCCTTTCAGTCTTGCCTCAGTCCAAACCACTTTTCACATAGCTGCAAAAATGATATTCCTAAATGGAAAGTCTGATATCCCCCTGTAAAATGCTTTCCTAGATCCTGTCTAATTTATCCGTAAGCTCCTGCATCTTACCTTTCCCTCCCTCTCCTTTCTCACTGTTATTACATAATGAGCCCTCATATCCTCTAGCTACAGTCATGCTTTTCTAGTTAACTGTCTAAAAGCCATATTTGAAGGATAAGAATACAGTTAGACATTGTTGGGGTATAATAGCAGGAATGGAACTCCCCATACTGCAGTCTAGACCTAGGGAGCAACTACAGAACATAAAAACACTAGACATGTGGCCAAACAAAAGACAAGGATACTGGAAAGAGAAAACACACTTTTTATGAAGTAACTGCAATTTGAGTTCAAATCTCATTAAAGCTCTATGTGGGACTTGAAGAAGCATAAAGACCAAATTGCATTTATGCTAGATCACAAGACAAATACTTTATAGTGTTAGCATTACAAAATATTAATGATAAAGTTACCAACTAATTTTGACTCTAAAGTGTTTCATGCTTTATTCCTGATATTCAGAAACTCTTGAATAAGTCACTAACTCTTAGCTTTCCAGCCAACAACCATAAGCCAGCAACCTGTTCATAAGCCTATTCAATTATTCTTATGCAGGTTATCATTATTCATGCAGGTTTTCAAAATTGTGTTTTTCTGCTGTTCTATAAAAGTGCCAGTTCCATTACTGGAAGAGCAGTCGGAGTAGATGCATTCCACGTACCTTCATAGCAGATGTTATCTCACACTGCAAATCCCTTGAATCATTCAAACTGAACATGGTGTCCAGGACGGTAAAACATTTCAGCCACGCTTCCAAGAGACAGCTGTTTATGCAATTAGAAAAAGAGATGTGATTCAGAATATCTTCTTTTAGTTATGGGATTCTGTAGCATGATTTTTAGAGCTACAAATATTTACTTTTCCTTCATAGCAGCGAAAGGATTGCACACAAGTGTACTCTGCACTTTGAGTTTCTTTCTTTGATATAGAGTAAACATTATTCGAATTGGAATAGAGCAAAGCTTGATAGGCTTTTTGAATTTGGAAAACTGTGAAGCCCCCCTTGTGATGGCAAGAGAGAGGCCATTTAAGAAAAATTCTTGCTTGAATTTTTCCTGGAAGCCGTCTATTAGAACCCCATCTAAGATTGTTCTTTTCATTCTGATCTTCTGGTTCAGATCACTGTAACCTGCTCTGGGGAAGACAGTGGACATAAGAGTTGATTATATGTCACTTTGCCCTGAAATGTAGGTTCTGTTACTCTAAAACATATATTTTTAATTTAAAAAAAATCTGTTAAATTTCACCAACTGTTGGTAATACTGGTTTCTTGTGTCACTCTGACTCAAAAAGAAAGAAAGACTTTGCAGCATCTATGTTATGGGTACATGTTAGACTTGTCTGCATAAATAGGCAAATAAATAATCATGAAAAGGGATTCTGACAGGTAAAACACGTAATTTATTAACCATTTTAATATTAAAACCATTTCCTCAATACAAATTTAATTATGTCAAAGTTAGTTTAGATTCGCTAGAGAGATACTTTAAAAAAGAAGCACATTTTAATTATGATGAAAATTTTAATTTATATGAAAATACTTTCCCTGGGACAAGAAGAGTAGAATCTTACTCTAGCTCATCTCCAAGTCTCTAGGGAGGCAGGGAGAACATCCATTAAATGTTTGCTCTTGTATAGCTGGTCATTCAACTTCGGTTTAGCTGTAGTCAAAGCATGAACCGACACAGAAAAGTCTTGGGGAGATGTACATGCTTACCCACTCTTGTCCAGGATCCATTCTGTTTTATTGCAGCTCCATGTGCAAAACAACTTTCTCCATGTATTTCTTCTTTTATGTCATGTGAAAGGAATGATATTTCACTGTCTTGACCTACAAAACAAAAATGTAATGTGGTTCATAAGGCCCCAGTAAATTCTCATAGTTCTGAGATGCCATTATGAAATCGGCAATGAGATTTCCATCTCTTTCTAATAGCTTGTTTATTCTGCCTTCATATCAATTTAAACAAATAATTGGTATGAATGACTTCTGGTGGGACAGGAAAGCAGCAGTTTGAATATAAATTTCTTCTTTTGCATTTTAAGTATGACTGTCTTTTCTCTAGTCCTACAAGTTGGTGGACAGAGACATGTTGAGAGAAAAATGTCGAAAGGCTGCAGGGATATAGCCCCGGATCTGTGGTTTCCACTCGGCCCTGAAATAGAAACTGTTTATTTTCATCTCATACATGAGGTGGCATGATCATTTCCCCCCATATTCTGGAAGAAAAGGACCAGAAAGATGCAAAACAGAAAATCTTTTCTCATCAGCCATCCACCAGGGAGCAATATGAAAGTATTTTTAAAAATGATGTTTTATTACTTTGGTAAACACGCCTAGCGGAGCTCTCTCTATTTTTATACGTGATCTCACAGCGCCTTAGCTTCTAGATGGGCTGCTCTGACCAGCTCACCACAATGAGAAAGAAAACCAGAATTCAAGCTAGTGAGGGTGTTACTATCTACATAATTGCATTACATATTTTTGTGTTAATTTGAATTTTTTAATTGTTGAAGCACAACAAAACACCAGTTTTAAAAGTTAAAATTTCGTGTGTTATGACAAATGTATATAGTCATATAGTCATATACCCTCCATCACAACTATGATACAAAAATTTCTATCAGTCCAAAAATATCTCTTTTTTGTTTGATTGTTTGTTTTTGTAGCTCTTTTATTTCTTAGGATATATCTTACTGGGGACGTGCAGGCAGGTGTTACTGTGTTATAAAATCATTTGGTTCCTTTCTGTGTGGCTAGAAGCATTTTTACAAAGCACATGTAAAGTAAAATTAGGATAATTAAAATACATACTGATATTTTCATACTTCAAGTTTATCGGTTTCATCAAATTGCAAAATTGAACTATGTAATATAATTTATAATTCAGAAAGGAGATGTAAGATTTTTTGTTTGTTTGTCATGTACAACAGCAGGGGACACAGACTTAACCTATGCTTGTGAAAACAGACATCGGGATATTACAGATGTTTACTTTAAGCAGGGGCCTGTCTAGTAAGATATTTTTAATTTCAAATATTTGTGCGTTAATTATTTATTCATTTATTTTGACTCTTTCCCTTTATTTATCAATTTTCAGAATTAGTTGCTTTGCTAGCATTTCCCAAAGTTGACCAATGAAATTATTTTAAAAGTATCATTATGATCTCTGTCATTTTAACATAGTTGATGTATTTGATCAATTGCAGTTATTATTTTTTAAGTGAATTTATTAGAGTGACATTGGTTCACAGAACCATATAGGTTTCAAGTGTACAACTAAATAAAACATCATCTGCACACTGCATTTTTCTCTCTTCACCCCAAGCAAGTTCTCTTGCTGTTCACATTCCCTTCCCCCCACCTTTGCCTACCTCCTCTTAGCCCCTACTCCCCTTTCCCTCTGGCTATCACCACACTGTTGTCTGTGTCTATGTGTTATATATCTATTTTTAACCTAATCCCTTCACCTTCTTTTATCTAGTTTCCCACTCCCCACATCTGTCAGTCTGTTCATGTATCCATGCCTCTGGACTTATTTGTTTGTCAGTTTATTTTGTTCTTTAGATTCCACGTATAAATGAGATCATATGGTATTTTTCTTTCTATGACTGGTTTATATCACATAGCATAATAATCTCCATGTCCATACAAGCTGTCGCAAAAGGAAAGGCTTCCTTTTTTTTTTTTTTTTTACAGCCCGTAGTATTCCATTGTGTAAATGTACCACAGCTTTTTTTTTTTTTTTTTTTTTTAATCAACTCATCTGCTGATGGGACTGAGGCTGGTCCAGATCTTGGCTATTGTAAACAATGCTTCAATGAACATATAGATGTGTATTTTCTTTCTAATTAGTGTTTCGGGATTTTTAGGATATATTCCCAGAGTGTGATTGCTGGGTCAAACTGCAGTTCCATTTTTAATTTTTTTTGAGCAAACTGAATGTTGTTTTCCACAGTGGCTTCACCAGTTTGCATTCCCACCAATAGTACATGGGGTTGCCTTTTCTCCACATCCTCCCCAGCACTTGTTGTTTGTTGGTTTATTGATAATAGCCATCTGGTAGGTGTGAGATGATACCTCACTGTGGTTTTAATTCACATCTTTCTGATGATTAGTGACATTGAACATTTTTTCATATGTCTATGGGCCACCTATATGTCCTGTCTGGAGAAAATATCTATTCAGGTTCTTTGCATATGTTTTAATTGGATTGTTTGTCTTCCTGGTGTTGAATTGTTTATGCTCTTTATATATATTTGGAAATTAACCCCTTATCAGATATATCAGTGGCAAATATGTTCTCTCATACAGTGGGTTCCCTTTTCATTTTGTTAATGGTTTCTTTTGCTGTGCAAAAGCTTTTTAGTTTGATGTAGTCCCATTTGTTTATTTTTTCCTTTGCTTCCCTTGCCCTAGGAGATAATATTGGCAGATATATTGCTATGAGAAATATCTAAGATTTTACTGCTTATGTTTTCTTCTAGAATTGCTGTGATTTCATGACTTACATTTAAGTTCTTTATTCATTTTCAGTTTATTCTTGCATATGGTATAAGTTGAAGGTCATTTCATTTTTTTGCATGTACTTGTCCAATTTTCCCAGCAGCATTTATTGAAGAGACTGTCTTTACTCCAATGTATGCTCTTACCTTCTTTGTCAAATATTGATTGACTGTAAAGGCATGCATTTATTTCTGGGCTCTCTGCTCTGTTCCATTGATCTATATGCCTGCTCTTATGCCAGTACCAGACTATTTTGATTACAGTGGCCTTGTAGTATAGTTTGATATCAGGTATTATGATACCTCCAACTTTGTATCTCTTTCTCAAGCTTGCTGAGCCTATTTGGGGTCTTTTTCAGTTCCATATAAATATTTGGAGCATTTTCTCTAGATCTGTGTATTATGCCATTGGTATTTGAATAGAAATCGTGTTGAGTCTGTAGATTGCTTTGGGTAGTATGGACATTTTAATGATGTCAATTCTTTCAATCCATAATCATGGTATGTACTTCCACTTATTTGTATCTTCCTCAATTTCTTTCTTCAGTGTCCTGTAATTTTCTGAATGAAGGTCTTTTACCTCCTAGGTTAAATTTATTCCTAGGTACTTTATTTATTTATTTATTGATTGATTGATTGTTGCAATAGTAAATGAGATTGTTTTCTTAGTTTCTCTCTCTGATAGTTCATTACTGATATATAGAGATGCCACCAATTTCTGAATATTAATTTTGTATCCTGCTACTTTGCTGACTTCATTTATTAAATCTAGTAGATTTTTGGTGGAGTCTTTAGGGTTTCTATGTACAATATCATGTCATCTGCGAATAATGCAGTTTTACTTCCTCCTTTCCTGTCTGGATGCCTTTGTTTCTTCTTGTTGTCTTATTGCTATGGCTAGGAATTTAGTACTATGTTGAATAAGAGTGGTGAAAAATGAATGCTCCTGTCTTGTTCCTGATGATAAGGGCAATGCTTTTAGTGTCTGCATATTGTCACTCTAAAAATTTCCCTTGAATACCTTTGCTTTTAATCCTCTTACTCCAACCCTTGATTCCTGGCAAATGCTGATATTTTCTGTTGATCATAATAGGTTTGCCTTTTCTAAAATTCATAAAATGGATTAATAGATTTCATATTCCATTATGTATGGCTTTTAAAAATTGACATAATGCTTTAGAAATTTACTAATGTTGTTGTGAATATTGGTTTGTTTGTTTTTTTAATAATTTTGCACTGTGGTTTTTGTTTGTTCGTTTTTTTTGTTTGTTTGTTTGTTTGTTTTTGCCATTGCTGTGTTTCAACCCAACTTCATACCTTCTACTTTAAAACTTATGTTTGCAGCTACTTCTATCAGCCTGTTTTCTGCCTGGGAGTTTAACAGCCTACTTTCATTTTGTGTTCATTATCTCTCTATTTGTTAGAATTTTAGGCCCAGAGTGTCCATGAGCCACAGAAAATTATTCACAAACTAATGGAGTTTTCCCAGTTGAATTTGGAGGAAACTGAGATTCAGAGAGGTCAGATTGGAATAGGAACAGGAAACCACCTCATCATAAAGTCAGTATTTTTTTCCTTTCATCACAGTACTTTTTGGTATGATGGGTTATATAATATGCTTTTAATGAAAGGGAACATATTAATTTATGAGGAGAGTTAAGATATTTGTGGATAATAATATATAAAAGTACATTATTTTGTTATAAAGAATATTGGATATTATTAAGTTAACAATGATTTTAGATAAGATTCAGAATATTTATTTCTTAAAATGACTTTAATAAATTGTGACATTAAATATGTTTATATAAAGATCTTTATATAGTTACTTAAGCAGATGAGTATGAATTTAGTTTTTGAGTTGAATAAATCTATATAAGACAGAAATAGGCAATCCAAATGTGTAGATGTAATAATGCCCACTTAAAATGACCAACACATTTAAAAAAAAATTTTTTTCTTTATTGATTTTAGAAAGAGAGGAAGGGTGAGGAAGAGATAGAAACACCAATGAGATAGAACATCAATTGCCCGCCTCCTGCGTGTCCCCCTCTGGGGATTTGGCCTACAACCTGGGCATGTGCCTTGACCAGGAATCGAAAGAGTAAACCCCTGATGCATGGGACAGCAATCAAGCACTGAGTCATACCAGCCAGGCTTACCAACAAATTTTATTAAGAATTCCTAAAATTATATGTGGTTATTTTTCAAGGGCAATAATAGCTTCTTAGTGCTCTGACATAGTATTCCAGGTACTCATGTTTTGTGTGAGTGGTCTTTTTGTTTCTTTTTTCTTTTTTTCTGGTAATTCCATTTCATTAGTTCACTACAGATTTTACTGTCTTTTTAAAAAAATTGCCATTTGCTCTTTCAACCTCAATTATATATCTTATGCTTTAAAACATGGATAGTCAGTTTTTTATAGCCAAGTGCAAAACTCATCTCTCCTGTGTAAGTACTCTGTAGAGATATTTAAGAAATTATCATTTAAAAAATGATGCTTTATAATTATAATTTCTCATTTGAGTGAAGGATATGAAGTAAATTTTCTATTGAAAAGAATATGTCACAAGTATGGTTAAATAGCTGTACAGGGAGCACTGGCTAAAATGGACAGATATTTATTTCCATATTGGTTAAATATATAATCTGTCCTTTGGTCAAGTCCTTAAGTACTGGTTCTCTTATTATTATTGAATCTTGGTATACCTCTTTGATAATTAGACAAGATGGTATTAATGCTGGCTTTGGGCTATCTTTTTATTGACCATAAATTTACTAAGAATTGTTTTTTGAGAATTCATATAAAATTTTTCTCTATGTTTATAACTCTAAAACCTGTCTTCTGATGATCAACTCATAATTATTATCATGATAATAATAGTAACAATAAAAGTACATATTCTGTTTCAAATGCATTACTTAGCTAAATATGACTTCATTATTAGGAACTTACTATAATATCACTGTTTCTATTAACTAGCTAATAATTATCTAGCACTCAGACATGTTAAGGAAGTTATCTCAATAGATTCCCACAGAACCTATGGGATGGATATTATGACTTGAATTTTTAGACATTAGAAAAATAAGATTATAAGAAAGTATGCAACACATTTGCATAGCTACTAAGAGATTAAGCTAAGACTAAAGCTTCGATTGATTTCAGAGCCCAGTCTTAACCATTATAAACACTGCCACTCCTAAAGTGTTCTGACGCTATAGGCAGAACTCCCCATGAAATCAACAGATATTTATTATGTGCTGACTGCGCCAGTCACTGAGAAGGACACTCGAGATATAAAGGTCTCTGCCTTTGGAATGTTTAATCTAAATACAAACAATCATTGCCCAGCCTGCAAGGCTCAATAGATCGAATGCCACCCCTTGGACTGAGGAATCCCGGTTCAATTCCTGGTCAGGGTACATGACCAGTTGTGGTCTCGATCCCCAGTGTGGGGCGTGCAGGAGGCAGAATAGAATACATGTTTCTCTCTCATATCGATGTTTCTCTCTCTCTTTCTCTAAAAAAAAAAAAAAAAAAAATTAAAGAATATATTTAAAGACAAATAATCATGGAATGTACTCCTCCAAAAAGTGTTTTGAGTAAAATATTGATTTAAAACACTGACAGTTTATTTTTGAGACTCGTTTACAATAAAAAATGTGAATTTGTCCCAGACTCAATGCTGGAAAGAAAATAAAAATAAAAATAAAAATAAAAATAAAAATAAAAATAAAAATAAAAAATCTCAACAAATTTGTAGACCTGTTTAGAAAGTTTTATTCATTTTTTCTATTAGAAAACTCAGAGCTAAAGGCAAGGAAATAACCTTTCTACACCCAACTCTTCCACTAGCTAAATAAAACATCACAACTGTACATTGAATTGTGAGATTTCAATTTCCCTTTTAAAAATACAGAAACATCGCTAAAATACACAGAAAATAAGTGGCAAATTGAAATTGCGGGTTATGCTCAATGTTGTAGCTTCATTTAAAAATCTTGCTAATAAAATTATATTTTCCCACTCTTCCTTCATACTATTTCTTCAATTTGCCTTTTTTTTTTTTTTTAACAGCGAGTTTAAAGTTTTAATGATACCTATGTGTTTTAGGCCAGAGTTCCTTGGAAGCAGAGCTTGAGATGGGGATTTAGTGAACATGATTCATTTGGTTTGTTTGGAAAGTGATCTCTGTTCCACAGGAGAAGAACACAAAGGGACAAAGAGGAAGGGCTGAGCAAGGAGGGGTCCTAACTGGTGTCCTACTTCACTGTGATTGCAGGGGGACTCTCAGGAGCACAGATTGTATCATAGTCTGTCCATCCTTGCAGCAAATGGGCCAGCAGTTTGTACCTTATGGCAGTCAGTCTTGGTTGGCGGGCAGTTTTCCAAGAACTGACAGCTGTGAGGCACTAACAGTCAATTCTCAAAGCAGCGGGAGATACATGCATAAGCAGGCAATGGGGTTCTAGGCAGGGAACCTACAGCATTCCCTGTGAGTGTGTATTTCGAGCATCTACAGTCTCATGCTGTGCTCAATACCATCAATTGAGTTTCTTTAAATTTACATTTCTGTATTTCCCAAGGTGGTTATGAGCATCTAGTATTGGCCAATAACTCAGTATAAGATTACATAAAGGCTTAATAACTAGTGAGATAGAAAACTATTTTGTTGAAAGATAAAGGTTAGTTTTTGCCTGATTGGTCAGTGACTTATTTGGAATCACACCCAAAGACTTTATTTGTTAGTCCTTTAGTATAAATTTGTGATAAAAATGTTGCACATGTAATTGCCATGATAAAGCCTATGTACACTCCATTTTTATATGCCTTATTCATTTCTAATTAATGCGTGGAGTGCAGTTTGAAGTGATCAGGACGTGTGGGTAATTATCTAGGACTTTTTCCATCCGAAAATGATTGCTTCAAGCCCATAGGTGTTTAGATTATTTTGTTCTTCATCACTGAAGCATGAATGAAGCCTAGTACATAGCACAGTTTATTATAACAAATCATTTACACACAACTTTTACCTAAAGAAAATATTCAGTAAATGTGACTTGAATCAACCCTCTTGGGTTGAGATAAAGAATGCTAAATGATATAGCATGATCCTCGTAGATAAAATATATGTCACACATTTTTTATTAACTTTTACATTTGGTGAAAGGATTTTTTTTTTTTTTTCCTAATAAGATATTTTTGATTGCGGAAACACAGAAAGCAAACGTTTTTGTTGTTTTCCTTCTGGTTTGCTCTCTCCGGTTATGTTTACACTGACAAGCAGAAAGCAGAGCTCAGTCCTGCGATGACTGGTCGACTGTTAAATGCAGTTTGTCCTCTGCCAGCACTGGGTATATGAAGGGGTATCAGTATTTTATTTGAAACAGTACGTCACTTTGGGTTTTATGCTATGATTATCTAAATTAGAGTCTATGTTTAGCTGAGACAATAACAGGCATAACAACCCACAGTTTAGTAAAGCCAAGGATAACTTTAAAAGGAAAGTCACAGATGAAAGGGATCTGAGCTTCCCTCATATGTATCCTCTTACAGGATTTTGTTTACCAGCCACATTTTAGAGAAAAATGAGAGTATTTCATCCAGAATAGACTACACAATTATAATTCAGATGGAGAATATGAAAAGTAACGGAAAAGAGTGAGAAAGGCTATTGAAGGCAAAAAAGAATTGTAGTATTAAAAAAATTGTCATAAGATAATATTTGGAAAATATTTAAAACATTAAATAGTTAGGTTGCATTCCTAACAAAGGTAACTTTTAAGAACTTAGATAACTAATAACAAAGTTTTATTTTACGGGCCTTTTAAGAAACCCTAGCTTATTTATAGACACTGGGAAGCAGTAAGTACATCCTTTTGACCATAGTACTGCATTTTAAGGACATCACATTTCTTTGAGTCTTAGAAGACATAGAAAATGGTTTCTATGTATTTCTATATTAAAGATTAAGAATGCTTTGAAAATATAAAACAAATATATATAATTCAATACATCATTTGAGACCCAAACAATTAAAAAAAAACTGTGGAGAAGTTTGTTGTGAAGGCCAACAGAAATATACCATACACTTACAACAAACAAAAGGTAAGAATGAATTTTATGATTGTATTCTTTAGAGGTACTAGAAAATAATTTCGTAGTATTTCTGCAATGCACTGATTTAATGTTTCTATTAAAATGTAGCAAATATGAGAAAATGCTGCATTAAAAAGGAGTTTAACGTATGTCATATAAGAGCTTTCAGGATTTGAACAGTTTACTACCCAGAATTGTTAGACCTTTGAGTCATTTGGACAACAAATATTTTTAATTAGTTAAAGATTTATCTTTTTGCATACTACAATGATGTGCTTCAAGTTTTAAATTTTTATTGAGAAATTTTTCTAAAATAATTTTTATGTGTTTTCTTAGAGTGCAGAATGTGATGAATCTAATGTAGGTATTCATTATCATATTGAGAGCAAAGATCATGGGCTTTGGGGCGGACTGGGGTTAGAATTCTACTTTTACCATTTAGTGGTTTATTTTTTTAGAAAGTTGCTTAAATTTCTAAATTTGTGTTTAACTGAAATATAGGAATAACATTGTATCTTCTGGAATTATTTTCACTCATCCATTCCTTAGATGATTTAGAATCATGATTGTGAGTATCAGTTGAGAGATTAGGATTACTGGACCATATGCTTTTTGAGAGTAGGGGTTTTTTGTTGTTGTTATTGTTGTTTTTTTTAGTTTCTTTGTCTGATTTAAATTTTTTTCATTTCTTTGTTATGTCTCTTCCAATTTGCTCCTTCTAATCTACTGTGAGCCTTGGAAAAAAATTTCAAAAGAAAAAATGATAATTTATTTAAACACTATACTAATTATCTACAGCTGTGCTGTTCAACATGGTAGCCACTATCCAAATGTTACTTTTAATTAAAATTAAGAATCCACTTCTTTAGTTTCACAGTGCACGTGCTTGCTAGCCCCAGCAGTCAGGAGCTGTATCAGACAGAGGAGAGAAATAGCATCATCACAGAATGTTCTGTTTGACTGTTCTGATCTACAGTGTTTAAAGCTCAGCATTTGTGTTGTGGAGGCCTGAAAATGAGTGGAATGTGGCTCTTGCCTTCATGTGACTTAAGTTTAGTCAAAGAAATAAGATATTTTGGGGAGGTGTTTGGAAGATATAAAAAAAAAATCGATGATAACAGATGATGACTAATTGAAAAACATTGAAGAGTTAGAATAAACAGCTCAGGATTAAGAGATGTAAGAAATGACAGAGATGAAACCGAAATCATAACTAACGTTTGTGATCCCTAGTGGTTGGAACGTGACTAACATAAGCTACTTGCAGGAGGAAGGAAGGAGGGAATGATTTTATTCATGTCCATAGGAGTGCTGTATTAGTTTAAAAAAAAAAAATTTAGTATTTAACAATTTTTTATGAATATTTATTATTTTAATATATATTAGAATCTCATTTAAAAAGAATCATGACCCCCCCACCCCGCGGCTGTCGTGGCTCAGTGGTTGAGCATCGACCCATGCACCAAGAGGTCACTGGTTTTATTCCCGGACAGGGCACATGCCCAGGTTGTGGGCCCAATCCCCAGTGGAGGACGTGCAGGAGGCAGCCAATCAATGTTCTCTCTCATTGATTTTTCTGTCTCTCTCTCCCTCTCCCTTCCTCTCTCTTTAAAATCAATAAAGAAAAAAAAAGAATCATGACCTTTGTAATACTCAAAACTTGTTGTCCCTTTCCCTATCTCTAAATACATTTTCTGGAATCTGTTTGTATTCTTGTCTTTTTGTTATTTCTCACTGAAAGAAATCTCTCTGTCCAAATTAATCTATTATTATAGTTTGAATGCCCTCTCTTTCTATCTCATCTTCGATATTGCCTCATATTTTATTCTTTTGCCACCTCTGTCTTGAAACATAACTTTCTCTATGATTTCCCCTTCAGCCTCTTAATATATGTAAGATTCCTATATCAAACCAGTTAATTGAACTTTCCTACCTTTTCAATCAAATTTTCTCAGAGTGGCCTTCATTTGTTTTCTTCAGTTCCTCACTTTTGATCTACTCTTCAACTCTGACATTTAACTTTTCTTCTCATTAAGTGGATATGTCTTTCATTAAGGTCCACAATTACCATTGTCAACAATTACTGTTGTCAACTCCAGCAGACCTTTTACCATCCATCTCTTTCTTGGTTAAAAATATTGACCACTTCATTCATCTATGCTGATGACACTCAACTCTGTCCCCATTCCCTATTATCCTCATAGTTCTTCCTTCCTTTCATTTATCTATCAATTAACTGACCACATAAAAAATTGACCATTCAATGCTTCCACAGGATGTGCTGTAGGCAATTCAAACTTTGCTTTAACATAAACAGATCACCTTACCAAAATCGCCTCCTTCTGTTTCTTCAGTATTTTTCTCTGGGTCAGTTGCACCATCATCTAATCATTTTCCCAAGCTAGTAGCTTAGAAAACCTTCTTCTGTACCCCAAATGTATGACTAGTACCTCCTTAAAAATTATTCCAATCCATCCTTTCTACTCTTAGCCATCACTGACTTAGTGAAAGAGTGAATTTACTAACAAAGTCTGTATCTTTTAATCCTCACCCTTCTCGACTTTATTCTTCACACTGGCTCCTGGGTGATCTTGCTAAAATTCAAGTCAGCTGTTTCCTTTCCTATTTTTTTTAATTTTATTTTTTTACTTTTAACTCTTCTACTAAAGCTCTCTGGTAGTTTCTCTCCCATCTTAAAAGAACTGTTGCCTAAATGATTATTTCTTGTTAAAACAATGCAAAACACAGAATTTCCAAAGTTTTGCACCACATTGAGAATCTTCAGAAAAGCATCCAGGTATGACACTTTTTTCTTCAGTTTCAACCCTTCTTAGGATCTCTCCCAGTCACTACTGCCACCACCAACATGCAATACCCATCTAATTTGTTCAATATTCAGAGAGCGATTAAGTATAACAAAAATATAAGTGTTATAAAACATAATTAAAATGAGAACATTGTCAAGGAAAATGAATACAAGCAAAGACTTATTGACTTTATTATTAAAAATCTTGCTGCCTTCTTTGTTTTTAAATAGCTTTGAATCTGGATCTCTTAGGCCAACATTTTACATGAAGAAAAAGTAGGCTTCCAACACAGCTATTCAGCTGCTCTACTACTGTGTGGATAAAGGAGCCAAGAACAATGTAGTTCAGGTGTTTCCACTGGTCTTTGTGCGATGCTAATGCCAGCCTCTGCCAGGGCTTGAATGTGGACTCCCAGTAACTCGGGATGCATGATCCACCTTTAACAAGCCTATCAGAACCAGGCTCAGCAGGCATGATCCTGGATGAGGTAAAAATTAATGTTTTGTTGAAAGTATTACAAATGTCCCTCCTTTTTTACCCCATTGACTACCTCCTCCCCACTCCCATCCCCCTGTCCCGTCTTCACTGCTCTGTTGTCTGTCTATTGGTTATGCATTTATGCATATAAGTTCTTTGTTTTATCTCTTCCCATCCCCCCTTTCCTCTGAGATTTGTCAGTCTGTTCCCCACTTCCATGTCTCTGGATCTATTTTGTTTGTCAGCTTCCTTTGTTTATTATATTCCACAAATAAGTGAGATCATGTGAAATTTGTCTTTTCTGACCGGCTTATTTTGCTGAGCATAATACTCTCCAGGTACCTCCATGTCATCTCAAAGGATAAGAGATCTTTCTTTCTTACATTTGCATAGTATTCCATTGTGCAAATGTACCACGGCTCTTTTATCCACTCATCTACTGATAGACAGTTGGGCTGTTTCCAGATCTTAGCTATTGTGAATAGTGCTACTGTGAACATAGGGGTACATATATTCTTTCCGATTGGTGTTTCAGGCTTTTTATGATATATTCCTAAAAGTGGAATCACTGGGTCAAATGACAGTTGAATTTTTAATTTTTTGAGGAGACACCATATTGTTTTCCATAGTGGCTGCACCAGTCTGCATTCCTACCATCAGTGTACTAGAGTCCCCTTTTCTCCACATCCTTGCCAGCACTGTGTTTTTTATGCTTTGTTGATAGCAGCCATTCTGGCAGGTGTGAGGTGATACCTCATAGCGGTTTTAATTTGCATCTCTGTGATAATTAGTGACATTGAGCATTTTTTCTTATGACTCTTGGCCATTTGCATGTCCTCTTTGAAGAAGTGTGTATTTAATTTTCCTATAAAATATATGTGAATGATACAACACTGCTTTTAGAAGAATTCAACAAGTATGCCTGGTTATAGTGAAAGTTACTCTTGATAATGTAACTAATTTAGACTAGACTAGTGTCAAACAGAGACAAGTTGGTTCAGTGGCCTAGTTATCATTAATATCATCAGTGAAAATGCTCGTTATTATTCTCAAATCACTCCGTCAAATTATTTCCAATATTCTACATTTATTTATGCCAAATAACACCATATAGAAAGTCAGCAAGTTTAAAAATATGAAGGTAAGCTTTGCCATTACTGCAAGAATGAAGACCGTCCTTAGCAGTCAGACTGTGGACATTCCAGAAAATGTCCACATCACTCTGGAGGGACATACAGTTCTTGTGAAGGGCGCTAGAGGCACCCTGAGAGGGACTAAAATCACATCAGTGTAGAAATTTGTTTCCTTGGAAAGAAAAAGAAGATGCCCCAGGTTAACAAATGGTGGGAAAATAGGAAGGAACTGGCTGCTGCTCCCACGGTCTGCAGTCACGTACAGAGCCAAACCAAGGGTCTCAACACTGGGCTTCCCTTCCAAGATGAGGTCTGTGTTCGCTCACTTCCCCATCAACAGTGTTACTCAGGAAGATGGTTCTCTTATTGAAATCAGACATCAGACATTTCTTGGGTGAAAAATACATCTGCAGGGTTTGTGTGAGGTCAGGCATTGCTTGTTCAGTATCTCAAGCCCAGAAAAATGAATTAATTCTTGAAGAAACCAACATTGAACTTGTATCAAATTCAGCTGCTATAATTCAGCAAGCCACAAGAGATAAAAACAAGAGTATGAAAAATTTTGGATAGAATCTATGTTTTAAAAAGGAACAGTTCAGCAGGCTCATGAATAAGATCTAAGTTGTCCAGCTATAGAAAGAGCAAGATGCTGGATGACTGCTCAGACTTATTTGCGCTTTTGTAAAGATACAGTAAAAGCCATGTATTGATTTGGTCAACAAATATATGAAGACCAATTTCACAGCTAATTTTTATGGTTTGGGATGGGTAAGGACATGAAAAAGCCACTTTATAACTAGATAGTCATGGAAAATCTTATGTTTTAGAAAATATTCATAAAATACATTTTGTAACAATAAAATAAAAAGGGTCTTTATAAAGTGGGATTGATCTTTAGGTCACATGTGTATCAAAACTTTCATATCATAAGCATGTCAACTAACTGGCCCTGTGTGTGTACCTATATCATATTATGGTAATAATGACCTTGACCTATGTCATAGAACATCCCTTGATTTTTAAAGTATTCTCTTCCAACATAGTTTCAATGTTAAGATTAATTTAATTGCAATTAAAGTCTCTTATAGTTCTAAAATGAGTATTCTCTGTATTAAAACTTTCACCAAATATATTTTATTAAATCACAGAACAACAACAACAACAAAAAGACCTTTAAGATCATGTAGCTTATTTACACATCTGTTTATGGATCAGCTTCACCTGAGGAAATTTTTTAAAAGAATCCAGATGTCTAGGACTTTCCTCAACTAATTAAAACCTAAAGATCAGGGTTTTCAAGATATTCCTTAGATGATGCTGATGCAAGCCTGTTTATGAAGAATAAAGTCCTTCCTTCCAGTTTACAGGTCAGAAGACTGAAGCAGGCCAAGGGAGACAAATAACTTACCCAAATCATGTAGCAGAGCTGAGACAAGTTTCTGATATTCTTAACTCCCAACTCAGAGTAATTTCTGTGAAGAATTTCATGTTAAAGAACTTGGGAAGTTATTTTAAAAAGTGGAAAATGTATGTGTTTCTATGATTTCATGTGATGGGTCTCTACTAGGAAAACTTTTCTGCTTCTGTCTTAGATGCTATTAAAGGAGATTCTGAGTAAATTATATGTTTGAGATTTGCTGTCATAAATTGAGGCCATGCTAATAAATGTATTACGTGTGGCAAGAACAAGGCTTATTAGTGTCAATGATAGTATAAATTTTATAATAATTACTTTTAAAAAAAAATCCTCACCTGAGGATATTTTTTAATTTATTTTCAGATAGAGTGGGAGGGGGGAAAAGAGGGAAGAAGAGAGAGAAAGAGAGAAAAACATCAATGTGAGAGAGACACATCAGTTGGTTGCCTCCTGCATGACCCTGACCAGGGCCAGGGACAGAACCGCAGCGGAGGTACGTGCCCTTGACTGGAATGAAACCCACCACTCTTTGGTCTATGGGCTGATGCTCTAACCACTGAGCAGAACCAGCCAGGGCATAATTCACTTTATCATATTCCTCCAAGAAAGTCAACATATTTTCTTCAACTTTCACTTTTGTGGTTTTATAAACTGGATTTTCAAGTGACATTGAAATTCAGCATTATGTTCTAATAATATATTCACTTGTTACATAATACACTATTCCAAAGACATGAGCAATCACTTTTTCATGTTACTAAAAAGCTACAATAATACCAAATTCTTGCCAAATCAGTCGTCTTAATTAGAGCAGCCATTACATGAATCATAAATCATGACAAAGGGCCTATATAATACCTTATAATTTTTTGGTCTCTGCAGAACCATGTATTAAATTAAAAGCTAAAGTCTATAATGATCTTCATGAATTCCTGCCTGTTGATTTCCTTCAGTTTTTACCTTATGTCTTGGTGATAATAATAAGCGCTCTGAAACATTCATATGGTTCAGATTTTAACTCTTAGTGCTTTTGGTAGAATAGCATCATAGGTCCTTAAAGAATGATGTGTTTATAATAGTGATTGTTTACTCTCCTGCTGAATTGAAATTTGTAACTTTCTCTCTAGGGAACAATTGCTATTCCATTGTTTTCTGGTTCTAGCAAGCACATTAAACTTTCATAGAACATATAATCTTTTATCTTTTAAGATAACACCACTCAGTGCCCTTTCCTGCTCCTAAAGAAGGGCAGAGGAATGTGTCTTTGGCCAGTCGTCACTGTGCTGCAAAGATTTACTATAAAGCTCAGTCATCATCGTGCATGTCGGAGAAGTAGGAACCTTTGACCGTACCTGCTTTGTTCCTAAACAGCAGGTTCCGATTCAGTGTGAGCGCTGCAAAGAGTGTAGAAGTGGAATACCTTAAAGAAGCTTTTAGCTCCAAAGCCTGTACTATTTTGAAAACAAGAGCTTGGTTCATGTCTGTACTGGCCCTTGTTCATGACCTTAAATTTCTAGTGCAAATCACCTCTTTCATCTTCAGATTTCTTTTAAAAGCAAAGATGGCTTTCTAATGAATGGAAGTTGAATCTTGATTACTTAGTAGAAAGAATAATCAGAACACTGATTTGCTGAGCACTACAGTTGATCAAGTGATGTAAGTGAATACTCTATGTAATAACAATACTTGTCCTAATTCTTGATAAAACTCATCCTCTTTCTACATTCCTCCCTTACACATTACAGCTCTCTGGTCTTGCTTACCATCCTCAAGGGTCAGAAATATAATAAATGATTGATATTTTAAACAGCTGGAACTATAGTGTTTTTTTAATTATTATTATTATTATTATTGATTTTAGAGAGAGAGAAAGGAGAGAGAGAGAGAGAGAGAGAGAGAGAGAGAGAGAGAGAATCATCAATGACACAGGACTTCGATTGGCCATCTCCTTTATGCCGCCCACTGGAGGTCATGCCCACAACCTGGGTATGTGTCCTGACTGGGAATTGAACCAGCAACCTCTTGGTGCATGGGTTAATTCTCAACCACTGAGCCACACTGGCCGGATGGGAATTTAGTGTTTTTTATTCTTGTGTTCCTATTATGTTGTTAGAAAAATGGGTAAAATTAGAGAAATAATCCAATCTATTTAAGTTTACTCTGAGGTGATTTATAGTTATTACGTAGAAATGACTTTATTCCAATTATTTGGGGTGTGTGTGTGATAATGGTTGTCTTTTAAAACAATTCTTTAAAATATAGAACAAACTAAAAATATATGTAAAATATGTGTAAGGTATTAAGAATGATAATTCAATTGCATGTCCTATCCAACCTTTGTTTTAAGAAAACAATTTCATTCCCTTAGAAATCTCCTTAGTCAGCCTCCTGAATTCTATTCCCTTTTCTGTCTTCTCAGAGAAAATCAAATAATAGATTTTATGTTTAACATTCCTTTGC